ATAGGGTCATGAGCACCTAACAACACCATCATCTCAGAATGGATATATACTCATGGATTTTAATAATACAAAAGGTTTATAATCTATAGCATTAGTTACCTTGATGTTCAGCTGTCTCATATTTGGTAATGGAAATCCCTTTATCCCTTTTGTCCATCTGTCATTTCCTCATCATACTCTGAGCAATTCCTTTGTGGTATAATAGATTTCAGACTCATCTTGTATTTTCTCTCTCTTAACCCTGCAGTTAAACATCTCTTCAAGGTTTGGTTTCTTTTGATGAGAAATAGCACACAGATCCAAGTTCTAGGTGTTCACATTATGACACACTCATTCCTATATATATATATATATCCATTTGTGTGTCAATACAAATACAAATATCAATGTGTTGGTATATTGTCAGTGGGTCCAGTCCTTGGAGAAAGACGTGAAGTGTGGTGCAGTAAAGGGGCAAGGAAGGGAGGAAAGCCTTCACTGAGGTGGATTGGCATGACTGTGGCAATGGTCTTAAGCACAGTGGAGAATCAGAGAATGGTGCAGGCTTGGGAAGTATTTCCATTCTGTTATAAATAGGGTTAACATGATTCAGAACTTACTTGATGACATGTAACAGCAACCCATTTGTTATTTTTGTGTATCATCAAGTCAGAACCAACCCATAGCTGACCCTTCCTTCGGTGGGTTTTCAGAGGCAATAAATTGCATGGGAGTTGATTTCCTTTCTTTCTCCCACAGAGCAGCTGGTGGATTCAAACTGCATACCTTTGTGTTGGCAGCACGATTCCTTACTTACTAGTATTTACATCTCCATAGGGAGTTGCCAGTGACTCTGAAGGAGAAAGATGGGCAGTCTCCTCTTGGATAACTTACAGTCTGAGTTTTCAGTTTTAATTCCAGTCTAGCAGCACATGATTATTTATAATTTCTCTCCCGTTTCCATATGTTCTGGGCTTATCTCCTAGAACACAAGGAAATTAACTGTCACTACATAGCACATAACAACAACACTTAAACAATTTTTTTCTTTATCAGTTCCTCCTGTGTATAATCAAAATCCAGAGTCCATGAACCAAAAACTCAGTCCCTACCATACTAGCTTTCTGTGGAGTTTCTTTTTCAATATTCCTTTTCTAGCTATTATTTGCCTTTGCTATGACTTGGCAAAAAATAAAGCCCCAGGAATTGATGGAATACCAATTGACATATTTCAACAAACAAATGCTGCTCTGGATGTACCCAACAAGTTGTGCCACGAAATCTGGAGGACAACTACTTGGCCAACTGACTGGAAAATAACCATATTTATTTACATTTTCAAAAAAGGTAACCCAGAGTGTGGAAATTATAGAACAATATCACTAATATCACACACTAGCAAAATCCTGTTGAAGATTATCCAGAAATTACTGGAACAGTATATTGACAGAGAACTACCAGAACTACAAGCTGGTTTGGAAGAGGTTATGGAATTAGATACACTATTGCCAATGTCAGGTGGATCTTGGTAGAAAGCAGAGTACCAGAGGAATGTTTTCTGTGTTTCATTGACTATGCAAAAGCATTTGGCTGTGTGGATCACAACAAATTGTGGCTAACTAGAGGAAAATGGGAATCCCAAAACACTTGTTTGTGCTTATGTGAAATCTATACGTGGGCCAGGAAGCAGCCCTTAGAACAGAGCAGGGAAACATTGCATGGTTTAAAATCAGGAATGAATGTGTCAGGGATGAATCCTGTCTCCATAGCTTTTCAATCTCTATACAGAACATATTATTCAGAAAGCAGGGCTTTATGAGGAGGAATGTGGCTTCAGGATTGGAGGATGACTCATCAACAAACTACGTTATGGAGATGATGACACAACCTTGCTTGCTGATACTGAAGAAGACTTGAAGTGCTTGCAACAGAAGTTCAAGGACTATAGTCTTCAATTTGTATTGAAGCTCAACATCAAGAAAACAAAGATTCTCACCACTAGGTCAATTGGCAGCATCATGATAGATGGAGAAAAGATTGAGGTTGTTAACAGTTACAGCTTACTGAGCTCCACAATCAACACTCTTTTAACATCATAAACCAGGAAATCAAAAGATGAATTGTATTCGGAAAATCTGCTATCAGGGACCTCTCCAGAGTGTTGAAAAGCAACAGTATCAGTCTAGAGACTAAGGTGAGCCTAAACCAAGCCATGATCTTCAAAATTACTTGCTATGTATCAGAGAGCTGGGGAATGATTAAGGATGACAGAAGAAGAGTCAATGCCTTCAAATTGTGATGCTGGAGAAGAGTCTTCAACATACTATGGACTGCCAAGAAAACAATTAGGTCTGTCTTGGAGTGGGTGAAACCAATTTTCTCCTTGGAGGCTAGAATTTTGAAGCTCCATCTTACATACTTTGGGCACGTGGCTAGGAGAGACCAGTCCTTAGAGAAGGACATCATTCTTGGAAGAGTGGAGTGACAACACTGGAGAGGAAGACCCCAGATGAAATGGATTGATATGGTGACTGGGACAATGGAGGTTGGTGTGTCAGAAATAGTGAGACTGGCTTAGGACAGGGAAGGGTTCAGAGCTGCTATACAAAGGGTCACTGGTTGCAGGCGACTCAACGGTATATACCACCACCACCGCCACTAAAATAAATGAGTACAGTTATGTGAATGGGGTGTGTTAGCCTATCCAAAAGGGCATTGGCCAGGCTCAACAATCTAAAAGGGGATTGTCTAGTCTCACCATTGAATTGAGCAAACCAGCATCTAGAGACAGACATAACTTCTGGCACCAAGAAATAGTAAGAAAATGTTACTCCAGCTACACCTACTGCAGTAACACTTATGACTTAATTGGAGACCTGATGTAAGATGGGTTCTCTGAGGGGAGCTCTGGTGGCCTAGTGGCAAGGAGCTGCAACTACAATCCCAGAGGCGCATGGTTCAAATCCACCAGATGCTCTGCCGGGGAAGGAGGGAGAATCTCCTCCTGTACCAGTCAGATCTGATTTGACAGTACATTCACAAAAATAATAAAATAAATTTTAAAAAAAAGAAAAAAAAAAAAGATGGGATCTTTGGGAAGGGAAGCCATTATTGGCAGAACTGAGAACTTTGTTGGACAACCAGTGTTGGGACACCAATATTGGCAGGACTGAGAACTTGGGAACACCGGCCTGAAGGTACAAAGCTTGAGGCTGATGTGACTGCATGCACATTTTGGGAGCTGTCTTGATTATATTCTGTTATTGTTCTGGATTATAACCTTCTGATTTCCCCAGTATGGTTCTATGTCGTCCGTGAGCTATTGCTTTAAATTTTGGACCCAACAAAGCAGTAAAATTGATGTGGATATGAGTAGAAAAGAGGGACAGGGTTATGGGGGACATGAATGACCTCACAGGAATGGTTTTGTGCTATTTATTAATGGTGTTGAAGGGGGAAGTTCTTCTTTATGAAGTTGGTAAAGGTCAGATACACCTGTCCACAGTGGCCTCTGCTCTTTTTACACCTTCCCAAACCTACTTCCAGCCCTGGTGCTTAGTACAGTGATAAACAGTCTAGCCCTAGCCCTGATGTAGCAGAAGAGAAAAGAGGGCCGAAGGGTGAGGGAGAAAGGGCCAGTTGAGTATCCTTTCCCCTGCTTATCTTTCTGGCCAAGTTTGGTTAGGGAAGTTTAATCTCAGTGAAGGGGAAGATGATGTAAGTCCTAGTCTTTGTTCCAAAACAACATCATAAAGACTGCACAGTGGTTTTTATCATTATTTTTTTTAACGAGTTATTTTGGAAACAATAACATTTTAAAAAGTTTTTAAAATGTTTCCTTGTTAGACAATCAATGCATTTAAAGAGGTACAGCTAGGTAGAAATATACCAATCATCAACCATTTTCCTTAGCCATAGATATTTACAACCTTTTCTCTTTAGCCAACTTGTTTGAAAATGTTCAAATATGCAGAAAAGCTGTATGAATAGTAGAATAAGCATCTGCAAGCTATTTACACAGATTTCCTAAATAACATTTTTATGTATTTTGCTTTATCTTTTTTCTTATATATTCATGTGGGTATGTATGAGTGAATATGTATGTATTTCATTTAACCAGTTGAGAATCATTTGCTGGCACTACAGTACTTTACCCTTAAAACTTCAGCATGTGTTTTCTGAGATCAAGAACATTCTCCTATTTAGTACTAAACAATTGTCAAACTCGGAAAACTTAGCACTGATACAAAACTTTTCTCTTATGATTTCCCCCTTCTCAACTTAATGTCTTTTGTCTCATCATTAATGTTGTTTAATTCAATCATTTGGTTAATCCAGCAGACATAATTCTTTATATTCATGTTTAAATTGTCTCTTATTTGGTCAATGGAATTCCTTTAGCCTGCCCCTATGTCCTTTTGCTATGTCCCTATCAATTTTCAGGATGTTTTTTACTTTGTGGCACAAGATGTTCCAGGTTTACTTTGCACTTTCTGTACTACAACCTGCAATCAGCCCTTGTTCCAAGTTTTCATCATTGAGAATAGACCCTTAAACTAAGATCTGAGCCCCAGGTAAACACACTGTCCTTGCCCTGTCATTCTTTTTAGATCTCTTTAGAGCTAGAGTAAAAATGTATAATGCATATAGAAATAATCCAATATACTGCGATCTCTAATTCCAATACAATAAAGCGTTCTTCTCTCTCTTCCTCTTTCTATCCCATATTTCTTTCCTGTCTCCCTTAAGAGTACCCTGGCTTCCAGCAACATTTTACTCATTTGCTCAATCTTACAATGCACACAAATGGACTAGGGAATTGCCTGTCTTTTTTGAGGAAAAATCATATACAAAGGCAAAGGTCCAATTATTTTTCTTTTCCTGTCTTCTGTGCCAAGACTTTGGGCCCAGAGAACAGTTTGGCAACGGTGCTTCTATTGGCATGTTTGCTCACTCCAGAAAAAGAGAGTGGGCAAAGTCAACACTGAGCATTCAGGAAGCTGCCCAGGATCCAGGAGCCCTCACCACAGGCCCAAGGCAGGGTCTGTGGGATCATAGGGCTGTAACCAGGTGTCATTGTTGTCGTCTTCAAGGATGAAAGTCCCTTTCATGGGCAAGGGACAGATGGTCATGGGATCTGGGGGTTCGTGTCCATCATGGGACCTGGGCCTGAAGTATGCACAGAGTGGTCCTGAGAAGGTGTCCGTAAAGGTGAAGATGTGAGAGCCGTCAGACACGTTGAAGAAGGACAATTTTCCAGCCTCATAGTCTAGGAAGACGCCCACACACCGCGGAGGCACACGCAGGGTGAGTGCCATGCGATGTGAGTCCAGCACGAAGTACTCGCAGCTGTTCCACAGCCCCATCACCCAGTAGCCACAGGCTGGGCTCACGCGCGCGGGGCCCACCTGTGGCACCGTAGCCAGACACACGCCCAGGAGCCAGCGGCTTCTGTGGCCCACGTTCACCTCCCAGTAGGCGCAGCCCTTGGTGAAGCGCTCTCGGCTCAGCACGCACGCCTGCTCTGCACACGTCTCCAAGTTGTCAGCGGCCAGGCCTGGCATCGTTCCGCGGGAGGACACGCTCTTTCCATCCCCAGAAATCACCAGGCTGGGGTGTGCAGAGGCCAGATCCAAGGTCACGTCCGCTGAACAGAAGCACAAGGTTAAGGCCCGGTCGGTTTCTCGGCTCTGGCTTACCTCCTTCCCCCCAAAGGCAAACCTTTCATTTTTCCTGGTGGAGCAGTCAGTGGGGTCACCCTCCCCAGGTGGTGTACGGGTCACCTTCAAGCTTTTCAAACTGGTGAGAGGGTGCCTCTCCCCGCTGCCCCCCTTCTCCATCCCCAGAAATAAGAAGCCTCATGAATGACATATTACAAGCCCTGGAGAGGAGTAATAAGGCAGGAGTGTGAGGATGGAGGCAAGCACTTCTTTCTGGAGCCAAATTACCTCCAAAGAAAGGTGCTCTGGGCTGGTTCTATTCCCAGTTCAGTCCCATAAGCCTGTGTGATCTTGAAATCATCAGTTGGCTCTGATCCTTATATTTACAAGGATTTTAGAATTTTAAAACAGAAGGGTACCTCTGAGTTTATATAATTCAGTGCACTCCAACTTCCCTTCCTCAAGACATATCCAGGGGTAGTATCTTGTCAGAGAAAGAAATTTGACCAGATGGTCTGAAAATACTACATAGACTGTATTCTTCCCTGCAAAAAGGTCCAGAAGGCATCATTCTGCTTGATAGACATGCCCTCTCTCTTCCTCTCATAAAAGTAAAATTCACCGTGTTGGAGTCGATTCAGACTCATAAAGACAATCTATCAGTTTTTAGCCATCAATCTTTATGGGAGTGACTTTTATTTCCCATTGGACAGCTGGTGGATTTAAACCTCTGACTTTTTAACAGTCTGACATGTTATATTGTGTAAGCACATGTGTGTGTACATGGGTATGTGTGCACATATATACCTGCAGGGTGTGTGTGTCATGTTGCATGCATGCATATGGGTGCAAATGTGCCTATGTGACTGTGAAGGAGATCCATGTACTTGGTTTCTGGACAGAGTAATCTGATTCTAATTCTCACATCTCTTTTGTCTGCCTCCCTTTCAAGAGCTGACTAACCCGAGTCACAAAGCAGTGTGAGTCACAATTTCTCTGTTTAGTTACCTGCATGTTTTTGTGCTGCTCTCCATTCTGAAACCAAACAGAAATCTGAGTCAGTAAATGTAAGATCAGAATAGAGATTCAAGATGCATGAGGGTACACAAACTGAACAACTCCTTTCCTACCATGACAACTGGTTTGAATTACACAATTTTCCTAAAAACTTGAGACTTAGTAGGGTAGCTGGGGTCAGCACTAAGGTTATGCCAAGTTTGCATACAGGTTCATTTTTTGTGTGTGTTTTTGCTTATTTTTCAGGAAGAACAGATTGAGCTCATGAGGAAAGAGAATCTATAAGCTGCTATCTTGAGAAATGGAATGAAGATCTCAATCTCTGACTTGCTTGACTCAGTAACCAGGAGGCTCAACTAAGCTGGGTAGTGTTCTAACCACTATATTTTCCCTCAGTGTGCCTCTTTATAAATTGTAATTCTAATTAAAGTGAACAGAAAGGATGTGTTTTCATTCATTCACGGATCCACTTTTTCCTCCTTTCCCCTTCTTCAGTTCACTTTGTAATGCATGTCTGTTCCAGATTGTTAATTGTCACATATATAAGGTCTAATAACAATCTATCCTTTCAGACAGTCCTTCCTTTGACCTATTTCAGTGTAGTGCTTATTATCAAGCCATTCTTTTCTTACTCTCCTCTCTCCTGAATGCACATTTTATTTTTATAACAGTGGTGTATGCAGCATCTGTCCTTTGGTGACTAAGACACTTCCCTTACCATAATATCTTCCAGACTCATCCATGTTGCGTCGTGTTTAACAAGGTGATTATTTTTTAGTACTGTGATGACCCCCACTATGTGATGACCCCCCCTCTTTTTAACAAGAGTCATTCTGAGTAGATTTAGGGTTTCTCTTGTTTTGTTTTGCAAATGTAGTCATGAAACCAAAAAATAGCAAAAGCTATTTTTATTTTTGCATCAGAATGATCAGGATAGCATTTGCATAGAAAAATTGAATTAAAAAAAAAAGAAAAATTGAATTCCATAAGAATGTTGATTCCCTTCATATTCACTTATAACCTCAAAGCAATCACATGTAAGAATATTTTTGAATACTTGTAAAGAAACTTTGAAAATTTATCTTTATATAATTTATTTCTATTTTTTGTGTGTTCTTTATCTTCCATATAATTTATATTTAAAAATATAACCATTAACTTTGAAAAGGGATCAAGGTAGGAAGTCTTAGATACAGTGAAGGGAAAATCTGAAATAAATCTTAGAATCATGAGTAGAGCAAACAGGGGACAATGTTAAAAGTTCCTCACCATAGAAATACTCTTAAAGGGAATAAGTTATTGCACCTGGGAGCTCAGGACAATTTCAGGAAACATTTTATGCCAATTGATATAAATAACAGAGTCCACAAAGACAATGGTCCATATCCTACTTTGGTTAGTAGCAACTGTGGTCTGAAAAGCTTGTGAGCAGCTATCTAAAGGAAAACTATTCCTCTCTCTACATCTGGAGCAAGAAGAGAAAAGAAATCTAAGTCTAAAAGACTAATGGACCACATAAACGTCAGTCCCCGAGACTAGAAGGACTAGTAAAGCATCAAGCTATTGCTGCTAACTGCTCTGAGAGGAATCACAATAGAAGGCTTCCAGTGGAGAAAATTATGGATCAAAACTCAAAATCATAAAAGAAGTCCAGGTTTATGGTCTAACAGAAGCTGGTAGAACCCTAAGAAGACCTCAATCACCTTTCAAATCTGGAATTAAAATCACTCCCATGATTCAACTGTCAGCCAAACAGTAGACAGGTCTGTAAGGTGATTGATGACATCAGGAAGGTAGTTGCTCAGGGATAAAACTTTGAAAGTGGCAAAGCATAAGAAAGAACAAAATGGGAAGCACAGGGAGGAAGTGAGAAGAGTGCTGTTACACTTGAATGTGTTGTAATAAATGTCACAAAACAATGTACCTGAATTGTTGAATGGAGAACCAATTTTCTATGCAAACTTTCACTCAAATAACAATAAAAAGTTAATAGTAATAATTAAGAATGCTCCAAAATCATAAAACAAACCACAGACCAAGGTAACTCTCCCGATAGAGACTAGTGGAATCTCTGAGACTATGGCTGTTAGTCATTCTTCAAAGTTGAAGACGAGCTCACCTCCCTAGCTCTATTGTAAGCCAAACAATAGACAGGTTTATAAGATGAGCAACACCACCAGTGAGATATGCACTCCTTAGAGCAAGCAATTACACCAGAAAGGCAGCATTTACCAAAACCAAAGCTCAAAGGTAGGAAGGGGCAAGAAATAAGGACAAATAAGAATCAGAACCCAGAAAAGAAGTGGGCATATTATTTTTTTGTAGGGATTGCAATCAAGGTCATGAAACAAAATGCATAAATTGCTGAATTAAAAATGAATAGGTTCGGTACACTTTCATCCAAAGCACAATACAAATACCATCAAATTTATTTTATTTATTGATGACTTACCAATACAGAGTCTATGGACAAAGCTAATAGACAACAGTATGGAATTTTCTAAATTTAAAACTAATAGTGGATTAGTATCTATAACATATGTAAGGGACTCCTGTGAATCTATCTTTCTTCCGTGGAGCAGCTGATGGATTAAAACTGCATGCTTTTAGGATTGCAGTGCAGGTTCTTACCATTAGGCCACCAGAGGTGTGTAAACCAAAACTACAATGACCAATTGTGTATTCTCATGAACTGATGGGCTTAGAATCTGGTTCTTACCTGACATGGGCACAAGGACCTCTATGAACTGCTGGTGGGAGGATACTAGCCTTGACTTCTGCCTACCTCCCCATTTCCTTTCTCTGTTACGTAGTGAGTGTCTCTCAAGGACCAGAAATGCCCTTCCTGGGTGGGCAACACAAGATTGTTTACACAGGGCTATAAGGCACCATATTTAGAACTATTCATTTGGAGTTTGTAGGAGTATAATGTTAGTCTTAGTTTGTATGGCTGCCCCTGGAGGGGAAAGGTGGCTAGCTATAATGGAGGAGTCCTCAGCAAGGAGAAATAGACCAGATGGACATATAAGCAAGTGATGAGTGAAAAAGTAAGAAACAGCCTGAGAGTGCAAATATCATTTGCATAAACTAAAATGTATGTGCACAAGATAGAAATTCACATTTACAGGGATATAGAAAAGATATACCAAAGATGTATCTAAGAAGATGGAGGGAGGTATGGAAACAGATCATTACTTACATGAGAATACGCTCATCCCGAACCCAGGAGGACACCAGGAGTCTACGTGATACAATTGTACCACCAGAATTTGAACCAAAGGGATACAGTTTTCTTAGGGATCAGAATAATAGAAAATAGAATAATAGAAAAAGAAAACTTTACCAAGTAACATTAATTAGTGCATGCAATGTGGAAGATTGTGGAATGGAATCAGAATGAAGTGTATTTAATTCAAGTGAGTGTGACAGACTTTAAATGTGGGACAGTGGGAGATAAAATGGTGCTTCACTCACCAGCCTGGCCTTCAGCCCTTCTCCAGTCTGCATCAACCACGGAAAAACATGGGTTAGAATATCAGGAGCAAAAATATTCCTTTCCTACACACATCTTTTGCACCCACCCTCTTCTCCTCCTCCTCCTGTTATCCACACAGCAGCAGGGTGCCAACCTAGACATCCTACCTGGTTGGATACTGAGAAAAAAAATATACATATATAACCAGAGGCTAAAGTTAGACAAGAAGAAATAGTTCTGAGAGAGGTCACTTACCAAGCTCTATCTGAAGCTTCTCTGTAAGCAGAAGACAAGAGGAAAATAATCAGCTTTCAAACTAGTAGAAGCACATCCCCAAGGCAGTCAGGCCACTGGGAAGAAGTGGCCTATTCTTAAACCACTGCTAACTTCGAACTTGAACCCCAAGCTGACATTTATATTGTCCCAATAAAAGAGGCCTCTCTAAGATCCTGTTGTCTTGTTCTGCTGTTTTCGTAAAGAATGACAAACTTTTTTTTTGAGGAAGTACTGAGTGAGTTTGTGTGAGACTCAAGGTCACTTAGTGGGCACATTATTTAAAGTATTGAAAGAAATCACATTAAATTATTTTTCCTGCCTAGCTGCCAAAGACTGAAATATTGCCACTAGAAATACATTTCTTTGATCTTTCGAATTAAGGGTTTATTCAAAGTGGTTTTCCTAGCCATTACTTGACTTGTCTTGTTAGCCTATCACCAGTCCACAAGGGGATTGGTTTGTCTCACCATTAAATTGAGCAAATCCAGCAGCAGAAAGAGGACACGTCACCAACAGCAAAGAAGAGCAAGGAAAAGAATGTAACTCGTCCTTCAGGACCAGAGTAACAGTCATAGCAACCACAGTGGAGAACCAGAGACTTGATAAGAGAAGGAGTGGACCTTGAGACTGCTGCCTGTCATGGACAGAATACACTAAGAACCTTTGTTCAAATTTGTTGGACAACTCAGACAATTTTGAAGAGTGGGTAGAGTAAATATTGGCAGGACTGAGAACTTTCTAACACTGGCCCAAAGCCATGAGGCTCAAGGCTGAGATGCCTGCAAGCACATTTCAGAAGCTGTCCTGCCTGTATTTTGCTACTAACCTGGATTGTATCATGATTCTGTGGGGTCTGTGAGCTAATACATCAGATTTTGGATCCAGCAAAGCAGTAAGATTGGTGTTGAGATGAGTAGAAAGTGGTATTGGGGTGTGGGGGACATGTCTGACATCATGGGAATTGGTTTTGTGCTGTTGAAAAATTGGTAAAAGTAAGATATGGCTGTCCCCACATAATCCTTGCCCTTTTTAGCCTTCTTTTAAAAAGCAAGTGTTTTGGGGAAATACAATGCTGTACTCTAGTTCAGACTAGTGTTAGTGGACTAGACAACTTGCTGTTGTCAGGTCAATTCTGACTCATTGTGACCTGGTGTGCCAATCAGGGCTGCATTCCATGGGATTTTCAAGGTTGTGACCTTTTGGAAACAGATAACTAGGCCTTCTGATTTGCCTTTGGGTGTTTAGAAGCCAGAATGTAACCATTTGTCCCATAAGGAGGACTCCAGTGATTTATTACAGCTGTTTTATTTTTATCCCCAGCAGGACTAGCTTCTTCAACCCTAAGTTTTGTGGGAAGCTTTGCTGGAACAGGCTGGTGGTTCTCCTTCACTCATTGTGGCTTTCTTTCCTACCTCTTCTTCCTCTTGGCTCACTGCCCCCACCCCACCCTTCTATGAGCAAACTTCCACATCCCATAATAGTCAGTTGCTGAGTTCACCTGGGAAGAAAAGTGAGTCTGACAAATTAGTTCTGCTTTCACACAAATTAAATGTGTCACCCTTCTTAGTGATAATTTCATTAAAAAGAGAAAGGTATCTCTTTAAGGAGCTCTTATGGCTTCATGGTAAGAAACTGCACTGCCATCCTGAAGCATGTGGTTCAAATCCACCAGCTGCTCCTCAGGAGAAGAATGAGCAATTTCCCTCCATGTGATTAGTTGGTTCTGAAAACCCTCTGGAGGGTCTGCTATGGGTTGGTTCCAACTTGCTGGTACTCAACAACAACATGTTCTAGGAAGGTGAACCAGAGTGAGTAAAGGTTTAATGGTGGAATTTTAACCGATTTGGATTATTTAGTGGGGAAAAGTTTGATAGATCTGTTGATCTATCAGTTTTGTGTTTGTGACTTGACTCCAATCTGTTGTATCATAGCAATCTTAAAATGACAAGATAAAATTTTCTGTAGGGATTCCTCGGCTGTAATATTTACTGGAAGGAGTCTTGGTTGCACATTGGTGAAGGGTTTGCCTGCTAGCAGAAATATCAGTGGTTCAAACACATCAGCTGCTCAGAAGGAGAAAAGTTCTGGAAATCTGCTCTACTTTATCCTATAGGGTTGCTATTTATCAACAAAGGCAACAGGGGGCAGATTACTAGGCCTTTTCCTCTCTAAAACCATCAATATTTTAGTTATCAGTCAAGTACTTAATCATATGTCACCATGGGCCCTTGGTATTGGTTTAGGGTATCCCAAATTACAGTTGATTGGCAGCTGTTTGGGAATAGGCAGCCTATCCTTTCACTGGCTCAGGAGTAGAGAGGTGGGAGGGACAGAAGATGAATTTAAGGTTAGATTTTGGGTGACTCATCTCTCTCCAATTCAAAACCCATTGCTGTGAGTCAGAATTGACTCATAGCTGACTTTCTAGTGGATTTTCAGAGGTTATAAATCATGAAGGAGAAGATTTCCCTTCCTTGGAGTAACTGGCATATTCAGACCACTGGCCTCGAGGTTGACAGCATAACTCCTTACCCACCGGGTCACTAGAGCTCCTGACTACTTCCCAATCACAACTGCACACATACTACAGGCAGCCAGCACTGTGGACACAGCCACTGGGAACTTACCCAGCTCTGCTGTAAGTTTACCTGGAAAAGAAATGAGGAAAACAGAAAAATATCTCAGGTAGCAAACGAATCAGGACATACTGATGAACTCTTGAGACTAATATCAGTGGAGTAGGTGTCACTCTATGCAGTGACTCATGGTGTAACTCTTCACCATGGTCCGTACAGTTGTTGGTGTTGTTATGTGCTGTCATGTCAGAACCAAATCATAGCTGACCCTCCAGTGAGTTCTCAGATGGGAAGAGATTGTCTGTCTTTCCCCTGTCTTTGGGTTGTCAATGCAGCTCCCTCTGGCTAAGCCATCAGAGCTCCCTTGGATCATTTAGCAGTATTTATGATACATTTTAGTAATAATATAATAAATACAGTTGTAAATAATCTAAAAGGAACTCTGGTGACCTGGTGGCAAGAAGTTGCACTGAAGTCCTGAAAGCAAATGGTTCAAGACCCCCAGGTCCTACACGGGAGAAGGATGGGCCATCTGTTCTCCTGCGATTAATTGCCTCTGAAAATCTGCTGAGAGGGTCCACTATGGGTTCATTCTGACTTTACGGTACACAACAACCAAAAATTATCTTAAAGTAATATTTCTTAGACTAAATTAATACTAACAAAATTATTTTGTGAAATCTTTCTGTATTAAATTACATTATTATAATATTATTAGTAACTGAGGGAAAGCCTTTTTACAATTTTCTCCTTTTCTTTTAATTACTATTTCATTCTCAAAATAAGTTCTTTTGTCACAAATGCTAATTACTACTAGAAGCTTTGACAAGATCATTCAGGGCTATAAAAACACTGACAGCAACCAAAACAACAGCAGATGCTTATAGTGTCCTTCAAGTCACAGCATTAATTAGGTAACAATGATAGCTCTGACCAGAGCATGTTAGAATATTCAAAAGGTAAGTAAGAATATACCTTATAGATATATTGGTAAGAAGTTGGGCTTATGAAAAAAATTTTTGCTATTAAACTACAGGGATGTGTTTATTTAAAAATAGTCAACTTCTGCTTAAACATAACAAAACAATGGTGTAAGTTGTTATTTTTGTGCACCCTCTCTGACAGTGCCACCAGTGTGGTCTGCTCTCTCCTGCCTTGCTCATGAAACCACTGAGATCTCATTTCCCCCAAAGTGTATACCGTTCATTCTAGTAGCCCAGCCTGGACACCCAGAGGAGAGGACCCTGAGATGTGAGAAGGAAAAGAGTGAACCTTTTCTGTCCTACTTCCTCTCTTAAGTCTCCTTGGGCCTTCAGTGCTGCTTTATTGACTCAGTACCCTCTTCTTTGGCAGTCAGCGGTGTAAGAAAAATGCATCCCACTCGCTGCCCCTATTACCTTTTTCCTTCTCTGCCTGCTTCTTTAAGTTCTCTGAAAAGAAAAAAGAAAGGGAGGAGTGATGAGAATGCATTTTCTGCTTATTTCCGTCCGCCTTCCAATCTCACCTTCGGGTAAGATGGTGCCTCCATAAGATACTGGCATCCAGTTTCTGCCACAGGCCACCCACTACACCCTTTCCATCTCTTCCCTTCTCAGAAAAGCAGTGCTAGTAGGACTGTCCCAGGACCTCCTTTTTACCTTGAGTTTTCCATTGCTTCTGAAAGAAGTACAGTACCAGTATCGTGAGGAGAGCCAGGAGCAGTGGTAGTATGGCCAGAATCCCAAGGAAAGCTGCTTTCCAGGGGGAAGTTCTAGGTAAAAAAACATCTGAAAAATACCACAAGGGAGTTGTCTTGATTTAGATGACACTTAGCACTAGATGACCAAACTATCTTGGAACCTGCCTGTTGGAAAACATTCTAAGTAGCTTTTGTTTGATTTATTTCTGGGTCACACCATAGAAATCTGTAAAATGGGCATGAGAGTGGCAGCTCCAAGCACTCTTCAGGTAACATAAGTTGGAATAGGAACAGACTTAAACCTGCTGAGCAGAGAAGCAGAGTGCTGCAAACCAAAGAATGCAAAAGAAGACAATTTTGGTAGATCCCTTTCACTCCCCCCATACTATGACTCCTAATCTCTGTTACTTTCTGCCCAATCTTGCCCTATACATGAAGGACACTTGAGCCCAAAATGTTTATGTTTAAAGCCCAGTGGATTACTGCTCTCTACAAGCACTAGGGGAAGCTATTTGTCACCTCGTTACACTTTTTGGAAAATGTCATCACATAACCACAAGTGTACTGACCACAGTTCCCCTTGTTCCTCCCCAAGCTCTCTGTGGAGGAAATATCCTGAGGCAGGATGTATCTAGCATAGTCTGGACAGTGAAAAAAATCTGTTAAAAACAGCACTTAGAGACTCCTGTGGCAATTTGATAGAGCAATAATATGTGTATATTTTATCTAATGATAAAACAACAAATGCTGGCAAGGTTGTGGAGAGACTAAAACCCCTATTCACTGCTGATAGGAGTATAAAATGGTGCAACCACTTATGGAAGGCTGTCTGGCACTTTCTCAAAAAGATGGAAATAAAAAATACCATTTGGCCCAGAAATTCCACTACTAGGAATATACCCTAAAGAAATCAGAGCTGCTACCCAAACAGATATATGCACACCTATGTTTATTGCTTTGTTACTCACAATAGCTAAGAGATGGAAGGAAACACGTGACCATAAACAAGTGAATGGATATAAAAACTATAATATATTCACACAAGGAAATACTACGCAGCACTGAAAAACAAGGAACTCATAAAACATTACATAACATGGATGACCCTAGAGGACAAAATGAGGACATAATAATGAAATATCTCAGTCACAATAGGACAAATACAACATAGCACCACTGTTATAAAACAAGACTGACATGGGGTTGAGGGGTAACTAAGAAAAGAGTGATAAATAATGAACATTGCATTGGAACAGAGGAAGGAAAGAATTCTTTAAAAGACATATATGATTAGGCATTATTTGTATGACAACAGTCTAGACTAAGAGGTGCATAGCAAAGTGGACTGGGAATGGGAGGGGGGTGAAAGAGGAAATTATACAATAATAAATGAATATTTTTTCCAAGTGAAGTGTGGGGGGGTTACGTATAGAGGAAAACGTGCAACAATGAATGAAAGAAAATCCAACTTTTTAGGTAAACTTTCATCAAAATCAGAATAAAAGAATATTGTATAAAATTTTAAAAAAATGTTTTGTTGTATCAAAAGGTTTAAAAAATTTCTTTCACTAATAATGCAGTTTTAAAAATTTTATTTTATTAATTATAATAAACATTTACAGAGATTTTGGATTTCCATTCATTCACTGTTGCAACCAATAATGCATTTTGACTGCTGAAGGAAAATGAATATGCTCTGGTGGCATAGTTCACAGTGTGTTGCTGTCAACCAAAAGGTCATGCATCTCTGGCAGTTGGAATCCACCAGAGGATGATGGCACTCCAAGATTGGAGTTGGCTAAAATTGAGTAAAAAAACAGAATTGAAAAAAGAAAAAACCCAAATCAAAAACACACACAAAAGACCAGAATTGACTCAATGGCAGTAGATGAGTAATTGAGTGTACAAAAGTATAGAATCACAATGTACTGCTTGTTCTGTCACCAAGGCTAGTTGCCAAGCACTGCTCTGTGAGTGAGTCAGGGTGTCAGGGTTCATTGCCTCCCAGAGTTTATCATCATTATCACTCTCCATTTTGCCCTCTGCTCTTTGTCCTTACTGCCTCTTTCTTGCTGTTGTTCCCCACAAACTCTGTTAAGGTAAATACAAATCTAAGAAGGAAAGAAAAACCTCCTAAAGCCAAGCCTCAAATTTTCCCACGTGCAAAAAGGAAAAGAAACACCCCTCTCTTTTCTTAGAGTGTTTCCGCAAAACATGATGTTTTTCTCATACCCTTTGTGAAATGGCTGTAAATCCTTTTAAATCTCTTGCCAATTTTACAACCCAGGAATGTCTTTTCCACAAGCACTTTCTAGTCATGTTTTTTGAATGTAAACATTAAGGAAGATAGTGCCCTTATCTTCCTGTCCTTGGAATTTGACTTAGTTGCCTACCTCCAAGTTGTAAGGACCAGCTTATCACAGAGATCTGTAATTGGTTGTATCTTCCTAGCTGAATAAAAAAGTGATTTCTTTCTGTTCTATTATTTTAACTTTTGATTTGGGTTGATGTGAAAAATAAATTGGGTTTGCTTTCAAGACTTAAAACAATTAGAACCATGTATATTAAGCAATAGAAGTTCATTCTGTACCATTCTAGAGTGCCTCATAGCAAGACTTTGACACAGATAATGTTTGTTGTTGTTATGTGTCTTCCAGTCATAGTGACCTTATGTACAACAGCCCTGAAACCTGTTCTATCCTGTGCCAACTTTATTGTCTCTGACACACCTAACCTCATTACCTCAGTCACTGTATCAATCCATCTTCCTTTCCCCCCCTCCCCCCACCCCGTCCCTCCTCCCTTCCAAGCATGACATCCCTCTCCAAGAACCAGTCCCTCCTTGCAACATGCTCAAAGTATGCCAGATGAAGCCTCAGAATCCTTGACTCCAAGGAGCAGGCTGGCTTCACCCTCTCTAGGAAGAAACTGTTTGTTCTCTTGGCAGTCCATTCAAAACTCTTCTCCAGCACCACAGCTCAAAGTCATCAATTCTCTCTCTCATCCCTAGTCATTGTCCTGCTCTCTAATGCATAGCAAGCAACTGTGAATACTATGGCCTGGATCAGGCACACCTTAGTCTGCAGACTGATATCGTTGCTCTTGAGTACTCTGGAGAGGTCCCTGACAGCTGACTTTTCCACTGCAATTTGTCTCTTGGTTTCCTGGCTGCTGGTACCAACAGTGTTGATTGTGGAGCCAAGCAAGCTAACAGCTGTTGACAATTTCAATCTCTTCACCATCCATCAAGATGCTGCCAATTGGCCCAGTGATGAGAATCTTTGTTTTCTTGATGTTGAGCTTCAATCCATAGTGAAGGATGCAGTCCTTGATCTGCAACAAATGATTCAGGTCAACCTCAGTTTCAGCAAGCAGGGTTGTGTCATCTGCAACAACTCAGGTTGTTGATGAATCTTCCTCAAATCCTGATGCCACATTTCTCCTCATACAGCCCAGCCTCCTAGATGATCTGTTCTGCATGTGGATTGAAAAGATATGGAAACAGAATACATTTCTGGTGGACACTCTTCCTGGTTTTGAACCATGCAATGTCTCCTTGCTCTGTTCTGATGACTGCTTCCTGGTCCAAGTATGTTTCGTATAAGCACAATCTAATGTTCCGGGAGTTCCATTCTTTTCAGAGTCAGCCACAGTTTGTTGTGATCCACACAGTCAAATGCCTTTGCATAGCCAATGATTCCTCTGGTATTCTCTACTTTCAGTCAAGATCCATCTAACATTAGCTATAAATTCCTTAGAGGTAACCACTCCCAGAACATAAATAATGGTCATAATAAAAGCCTTTCCTTTCTTTAGTATTTTGCTTCTCAAGTGATATCCCTAAGTGATGGGGTTTTGATGTGCATACTTTTCAATTTTGTATAGATAGGATCATACTGTGTGTGTCTTTTTTGTATCTTCTGTCACCTAACATCATATTTGTGATATTCATGCATGTTGATGTGTACAGTTGTTTATTCATTTTCATTGTTGTATAATTCTCCGTTGTATTCATGTCTTTTAAATCTAAATGCATCCTGCCATTCCTTAGCACTCATCATCCTTTTTCTCTGTGGTATTCAGCACCTTCTAAAATATGATCCCATTTACTCACTATGCCTATTGAGAATAAGTACTTGAGGACGTTTTGGGGCACGTTGTAGGTGCTCACAAAACACTGCTTAAAGATGAGCCTTCTCCTCCAGTGTGATTTACTGCCTTTGACAACCTGCTAGAGGGTCACCTATGAGTTGGTTCCAACTGGATGGCACACAATACAACAACAACAACAACAACAAAAAAAGATATTAGGAACAAGTAGGTGCTCATGAGGAGTTCCTAGGTGGTACAAATGGTCTGCACGCTCAGCTGCTAAATAAAAGACTGAAACGTACATCAGAAGAGAGATCTGGTGATCTACTTGTGAAACTTAGTCATTGAAAATACATATAGAGTCACCTGAACTGGAGTTGACTCAATGGCAATGGCTCATTAAGCTCTCTGGATAACTTCTTATGAGTAGAGATCATGGAATTTGAGGCATGGCCTTTGTTATTTTTTAAGCCATTCCTCCTGTTCCACTTGCTGTGTGGATTGTCAGTTGTGCTCTTAGTGGGCTTCAAAAATGCAAAACTCATTACTGTTGAATCGGAACCAACTCACAGCTGACCTTCCAACCAGGTTTTCAGAGTCTGTAATGGGACAGGAGACTGCACATCTTTCTCCCACCAAGTAGCTGGTAGATCCAAACTGCCTGCATTGAGGTCGCCATCACTTGATCACAGAACTCCTTACTAGACTTAGTTGCAGATATTTTCAGGTGTGAAGCCTAGCATACCTCCAATGCTGGTCATTGTGTCTTGACAGAAAATAAATACAATAAACATAGATAACTAGAAAGATGAGGTTGACTGGGCCACTGACCTGCTATCTGGATCACGAAGTCTTTTTCCTGAACGAGCAGAGGGTTCTGAATGGAACAGGACACATTGCTCTGGATTCTTTCTTGGAGGATCATAGATGTTTTCAGACTGAATAGACCCTGGGCATCCTGGATGATGTCTTCAGCCTCAGAAGACAGACACTGTCCATTATGGTCTCTCCATTGAACCTTGGGCTTAGGGTACCAACCACTGGAGGTGCACCTCAGGTGAATGCCTCCGTCCTTGAAGCCTTCAAGGGAGATATGAGGGTCTGAGCCCAATCCTGAAAAAGGAAGACATAATGAGAAAGATCAGGTTCCTTTCCAGAAGTCAGTGAAGCCCATGCAGCCATTCACTATTTATCTTCACCGTCTGGCAGCACCCACCCATGGACTGTAAACAACAACCAAGAACAGTGGTGGCAAGTGGGTACTACCCCAAGGGACAGGTGAAAATATGGAGTGGGACATTTGTTGAGAAAGTGCTACTGGGCTTTAGTCCTAAACTGTAAGGGAAAGAACAAAGACTTGCCCCACCCCAAATTCTTGTAGAGTGTCTCCTCTTTTCTTGGATGTCCCAGACCTTACTTGGTGTAGTGTCATCTACACCCCATTGTCTCTACTGTCTATCCTTGTGGAGTTAGTACCACTTAAAATTTGTAAGGAAGTAATTTATTCAAATATCAGTACTGTACAAAATGTATCTTCAGGAACATCTTACATCCTTCTCCACTCGTTACATCCCATTCTTTCTGTCTCTTTAGGAAATCAGTTTCATTAATTTTAATCTTATCTTTCTTGTGTTTGTATTTTAAAGAGTTTACACATTATAGAACCTCTTTCACATATATTATTTTCTTCTTAATTAACAAAATATACCATTAAATCCCTTCACATCAATTTAAACAGCGTCACTTCTTTTTTTCTTTACTAAATTGTACAGTGCTTCATTATATAGATATGCCATATTTGGCTCCTGTGTTTTGACATTTAGGCTGTTAGCAGTATTTTGCCATTACAAACAATGCTACAAAGATGAAGTTTTTTTTGTGTGTATGCTTTTCCTTTCTTATTGTTGGAGATATGCCTTCAGGTTAAATTACTAGAGGTGATTTGCCATCTAAATGTAGATGTATAGATAGTTTTATTAACTACTACCAAATGTCCTCCCCTGGAGTGTCATAATTTTTTATTGCTATTATTATTAATTTCAATAAAAATTTACATAGACTTTGGATTTCCATTCATTCATTGTTGCATTTTTCTCACCTCCCCACCCTTCCCCCAGTACACTCCCCTCTTGGAAAAGTAAAAGAAAAATTCTTTCATTGTTTTACAAACCCTCCCCCAGGTCCACTCCACCATGTAGCCTTCACTCTAGACTCCCATCATGACAAAAATACCTGATCACATATCCCTTTTCTTTTGAACACTACCAACAATGTAGGAGAGGAACTGCTTCCTTTCAGCTTTCCAAGGGAGCAAATGATCTAACTTTGGGATTTTTGCCAGCAAATTTGATAGCTAAAATATAGTATACCATGTGTCTTAAAATTTGCCTTTCTCTCCTTATGAATAAATGCTGTCACTTTTCCCTAGTTTTAGAACCATTTTAGTGGACTCTTCATATATCTTGCCCATTTTTTAATGCACCTTTTCTTAATTGCCTAGTGGCCTCAATGGTAAGGTGTTGCACTGTCAGCCCTAAGTCACATGTTTCAAATTCACCAACTGCTTCACAGGAGAAAGATAGACAATCTCCTCCCTTGTGATTTATAACTTTGAAAAACCCAATGGAAGCTTAGCTATGAGTTGGTTTTGACTAGGCAGCATTATCTATCTATCTATCTATCTATCTATCTATCTATCTATCTATCTATCTATCATCTATCTATCATGGTGTTGTTTTGTGTGGTCAAGTTGGAACTGACACACAGCTGACCCTCCAGTGGGATTCAAGGCTCTAAATTGCACAGAAGGAGATATCTCATCTTTCTCTTGCAAATAGGCCACCTTTAGGCTAGCAGTGCAACTCTATATGGACCACCATCAGAGCTCCATATAGAAATGTAAATTAGGAATATTTACTTGGTTTGTGATTCTATACATACGCAAGTGTGGAAGCTCTACTCAAACAGATCCTTTCTCCTGTTGTAGTGAGACCAGCCAAGTTACCCACCTGCTACCTCCAACTCCCATACGGCTTCCCCAGCAAAGCTGCTGGAGCTGAAGCGGCATCCATAGCTGCCCTCATCAGAAGGGACGATGCTGTGGAGCTGCAGGCTCACACTTCCGTCCCTGATGTCATCCTTGATGAATGTAGTTCTGTTCTGAAACTCTGCCATCTGCCTGTGGGAGAGCTCCTGCTGCTCCTGGTACACGTGGACCACGTCAGAGGTTCGGCTCCGAAACCAGAGGATTTCCATGTGCTCGGCATCCAGGTAGGGAGACAGGTGGCATGAGAACTCCACTTCTTCCCCGACAAGGGCCAGAAAGGGGTCCTCAGGGCCTATCACCTTTACTTCCTCTAGGACTGAGAAACATGACAATCGCCAAAATCAACACACATCAAATAACACTTTTTTTGGTTACATTCTTTCTGATAAACTATTCCAATGACTAAAAGAAAACTTCCCAAAGGACAACTGGACAGGTTTCTTGGGATAAGTATTGCTTTATAAAAATAAGTGTAGTAGATTTAAAAATTCCCAAGGATCATTGTAAGCAGATACATGGATGGTGTTGCCTAGAGTATTGGTTTGGGCCAACTAGCTTTAACTACTATTTTGTAGACAGCTACGCAAATTTTCTTATGGTCAAGATAGTGAATAAAATGAAAAGTTGCTGAAATAGAATCATTGTAATAAAAAGCAAGTTTTAAACACTATGTGTTCTACTAAACAAATCTTATTCGATGTTAAGCATATTTAGTTACACAGATATGTAGAAAAAAATATCTGAAAGGAGATATAACAAATTGTTGATGGTGCTAATTTCCATACAACTCAAATAAAAATTTTATTATTTTTGTTTGTCAGATTTTCCAAGTTTTTAAAATAAGGCACACGTACTGTTTCTGTAATAATAGAATGTATGGACGTCAATCTATGTGAGCTCCTTGCTTCATGGGTTTCCCTATGGAAACATAGCCTGCAAGATTTTGTTTATCATGAACTTTAATGTGATTGTTCTCAGAAGTGATGTCTCCACATGGCATCTCTGCTCCTGCCAAGCCAATCAGTTTTCTGCAATTGTATAAGAGCTACTGGTCCCTGGTATTATTCATCTGCTTAAGCTGTTCTGTGCCATTCATTATGCTTTCATTTCCTTCTCTCTGACCATCTCTCCTTTCTTAGAGATTTAACTGAAATGTCATCCCCAAAGTTTCCTCTTCACTAGTTTGTTTTTTCTTATCCTTCACTTTGCTCCAAAATGTAGAAGCACTGTTATGTACTCATACATATTGCTACACACCAGATGAAATTCCTATACCCTTCCTATCAACTTCCTATCAACTAGGCTTTCTCTAGCAGTCTCCCCTAAACACACCTGATGCATAGCCCTCTCCATGGACACACCCTGATTTGGTTTACCTTCTATCTCTCATCTTCCTGGAGAATGTACATTCTCCCAGAGCTAGTTTGAACAATAACTCCTCTCAGTGGGTCTCTTGGCACTTAGAAAAACAAACAAACAAACACAAAAAACAATGCTCCCCAAATCCTTGAATGTGGTTCTCTTGCAGCCTTGCTTATACAGTTGTACAGCCATTTATGTCATGTCCAGCCCCCTACTTTGACTGTAAACTGCTTAACACGTTGCCGCACTTTAATTGATGACAGTGCTTAGAAACGCCCCCCCCCCCTTTTTTTTGGTCGCTGTATTATCATCATTTGCAGCAACGTGTTAAGGACCTAGGTAGTGCCTCCATCAACCAATTGCCCCTGGTTTCCAGCCCGGGGGATTAAGGACCAGTGTTTTCATAATTAATTTATACCCTCTGTTGGCTGCTTCTTTAAGAGATGGTTGTACTAAGATTCTTCTTGCTCCTCAAAAGTTACTGTGAAGGGTTGGAATAAAAATATTTACCAACTGAACTGATTGAGCATAAACACTGATTAATGGATCTTCTGACACCTTCCTGCTATGCCTTCATTGATGTCTAGTAACTTGGAATTGTGGAGAAGTGGAGATACTGGTGGATAGAGTAATAGTTGTAGAGCACTAAGAGGCTATATAATACTCAAAGGAAGTTTAGACAATTTAACAATTGGGATGGAAACCTTTGTGTATTTTAGCCATGGATGCAGCCTAGTGCTAAATTATCTCTGCCTTGGCTGCAGCTGGGCATGGAGAGACAGAAGCTGAGATTCTTAAATCTTGACTGGACAGGGTGCAGATATGACATACCATCTGAGCCCAGATGCGCAGGAACAATGAGGATGAGGAGGTGGGTAAGGAAGAAGAGTCCATTGGGCAGAGATCTGGGCTGTGAGAAGTCCAGAGAAATCAGAAAGTCCATCGTCTCCTGCCAGCAGCGGTGATCACCTAGAGGGCAACAAAGAGATGCAGAGTGACATGGAGGCATGAGACTGCAGCCTGCAAGACCTGAGATCTGTCCTTGCCTCAACTATTTTCTTTCTTGAGTTCCTTACCAGTCCTTAGTTTCTTTTGCAATTTGGCTGAATGTGGAAGTTGCTTCTAATTTTACCAGGCAGCACTGTTAATAGCTTTGATGGCCTTGTTCAGACTCACAGAGCTTCAAGGCCCCAGAGGAAGTGGTTTTGAAATGAGTATTGTTTCCAGCCAGGAACAGACTCGTGTGCTATGGAGGGAGGGGACTGTGGAGCCAGCAGTGCCACCCTCTTTTTGGGTTAGTGATATTTCTCAAACAAAGGAAAATCTCTGGGGAATCTCAGATGCATTTTTATTCTCCCAGAGCTACCATGATATATTCAACCTTGCTCCTAATTCCCTTTGCCCTGGAACTCCAGGTCTACAAAACAGAAGGACAGATTCAGAGTTTGAATTTTTTTAAAGTGAAGTCAGCTCCAGTGGTTTTCAGGGACACTTTCCACCAGTCCAGAGTCAAAGGTATGTCTTCGTTTCTGTGGCATCTTCAAGGGCCACAGTGATCAGGGGGCCATCTGTGCTCTAAATCAGACAAGATCACTCTTCTCCTTTATAACACCCCACTTGACTTTCACGGTAACATCCCATAGTTTTGTGGCCAGAGTATGGTGCACCTGATGTATCTTTGATGACAAATAAGTCTCCCCACATTTCTCAAATGTTAAGAATTTATAACTGGTTATACTTTAATTTCTTTGCTTGAACAACAGAAGACATTAATGCCAGTTCTGAAAGTAGTTCACCTTTCCATGGATTGGCTAGATAATCTTTGATAAATGTCAGCATTTCTCTCTACCTTTTAAATATCCACTTTCTTCTTGCAAGAGGCTCTTTGCATTTTCACCATCATGGTATACACTGGGGGGCCAGGGTTGTGATGGTGGGTCCACAGTAAGAGTCTATTCTCCAGGCCCTACTTATCTTTACCTTTCTCATTTTCTGCTACCATATTTTCCTACTGTTTGCTTTCCTTCTTCTGTAGTGCCCCACATGGTCCAGGTGTCCTCTGACAGCTTAACTGAGCCACTCTACCATTGGTAGACTATAGACAAGTCTATTTACAAGTTACTGGACAATGTAGTATAAAAACAAGAAAGCTCTGGTAGCCTCGTGGCAAGAAGTTGCGCTGTAATCCTGAAGGCATATGATTTGAAGCCATCAGCTGCTCCACAGATGGATGGGCAATCTCCTCCGGTGTGATTAACTCCCTCTGAAAACTCGCTGAAGCTTCAGCTATGGGTTGGTTCTGACTCCATGGTACACAATAACAACAGCATAAAAACATTCACAATAGAGCAAGTAAAGTAGTTAAATATGAGGAATCTTCTCAAATTTACCCAGAACTGAGAAGGATCCAGACTGAAAGATGTAAAATAGAAGGTAGATACCATGACTTGTGAGGTGAATGAACTGGTCAAGAGTGAACCCTGTCCTGTACCAGTCAGATCCAATTTGACCGCACGCACACACACACACACACACACACACACACACACACACACACAAAATAATAAAGTAAAATAAAAAAATTGGTATATTTAAAAGAAAGAATGATCCCTGTCTCCTGGGGCCCAAACACAGGCAGGAGCCAAAACAGCAAGCTGCTATAGCTCCATTCATCCTACTACAGAGACTCCTCAGTGTGGAAGAGATTGGAAGTACTTTCTAGAAGAGGTCTAGTAGCTTTCACGGCCAGCAGTTCTTTTTAGTACAAAGGCTGGTGTGAGGGTTTGGGCAACAAGAATCAAGGTTCGGACTGGTAATGTAATCTTTTATCTTCATGACCTACTGCAAGAATGTGTCTGGGACAACTGGGAAACAGCTGAAGGACTCAGAATAATGTTCCAACCCTGACTTTGTGTTTTCTCACTCTCTTTCTTCCTCTCGTCTCTTTTCTTTTGTACCTCTATATTTATTTTTTCTGGACCTAATATCCCATGAACCGAGCTATGCTAGATAAATAAGCATCCAAATAATGCCTTTTTATTTGACTGTATGGATCACAACAAAGTATGGCTGACTCTGAGAAGAATGGGACTCTCAGAACATTTGATTGTCCTTATGCAAAACATACACTTCGATCAGGAAGCGTCATAACAGAGCAAGGAGACACTGCATGGTTCAAAATCAGGAAGGTTTTACACCACAGATGTGTCCTATCTCCATACCTTTTCAATCTATATGCAGAACAGATCATCCGGGAGGTTGGGCTCTATGAGGAGGAATATGGCATCAGAATTGGAGGTCGACTCATCAACAACCTGCATTATACAGATAACACAACCCTTCTTGCTGAAACTGAGGAGGACCTGAAGCGCTTGCTGCAGAAGATCAAGGACTGCAGCATTCAATATGGATTGAAGCTCAATATCAAAAAAACAAAGATTCTCACCACTAAGCTTATTGGCAGCATCATGATAGATAGTGAAGACATTGAGATTGTCAACAGCTTTAGTTTGCTTGGCACCACAATCAACATTCTTGGAACCAGTAGCCAGGAACTCAAAAGATTAATTGCATTGGGAAAGCCTGCTGTCAGGGACTTCTCCAGAGTACTGAAGAGCAATGACATCTGATCCAGTCCATAGTGTTTGCAATTGCTTGCTATGCATTAGAGAGCTGGATAATGACTAGGGATGATAGAGAGTTGATGCCTTTAAGCTTTGGTGATGGAGATGTGTATTGACTATACCAAGGACTACCAGGAGAATTAACCGATTAATCCTGGAGAGAGTTAAACCAGACTGCTCCTTTGAGGCAAGGATTCTGAGGCTTCATCTGACATACTTTGGACATGTTGCAAGGAGAGACCAGTCCTTAGAGAGGGACATCATACTTGGAAGGGTGGAGGGACGGTGAAAAAGAGGAAGACCATTGATGAGATGGATTGATTCGGTGACTGGGGTAATGAGGTTAGGTGTGTCAGAGACAATATGGTTGGCACAGGATAGAGCAGGTTTCAGGGCTGTTGTACATAGTGTTGTTATGAGTCGCAAGCTAGTTGATGGCACATAAGAACAACTACAACAACAACGATGCCTTCTAAAACAAAAGAGACTCAAAGGATGTTTATGGATTCACTTGAATAAGCCAGATTCTGAATATTTATTCACAACTTCAGGGATATTAGACATGCTGATGGCTGGAAGAGGGAGTTCTGGTGGCCTACTGGTAAGGAGTTGAGCTACCAACTGAAAGGCAGGCAGTTTGAATCCTAGCTACTCCACAAGAGAAAGCCCTTGTGTGCATTTTGCAGCCTCTGAGAACTTATTAGAGGGTCAACTGGAAGTCATTTCCATGCCACACAACAAAAACAATAACGAAGCTGGGGTTAGAGGTTGCCTTATGGGAAAATATATGATCAATTTCCCTGCCTCTTGAGGGGCACAGGTTAGAGCAATGCCTTCCAGAATCATGGAATTATTAAAGGGACCCCTATTCTGTGTTGTGTGGCATGCTCATGTAATTTCCACAATCAATCCATGGGAGAAGAGGTGATAAAAACACATACAGACAGAATGGTTAAAACTAGCACAAACTGTACATTTATTACTTCCAAGCAATTTCCCAAGTGATATAATCATCATCATTATAAATAGATTAGGATTACAAATGAGGAAATAAGGTGCCAAGAGGTTAAGTGAATCTCACCCCTGTCAATATACCTAATAGATGGTAGAGTTGGGATTCCAGCTAAGCTGCCTGTTCCCGAGCATGTGCTTGGATGGTTCTCTGGATACCGAATTCTTACCAACTCTTTTCTGTGTCAATTCATGGAGTGTTTTTCAGTCATTCCTGTTACCCCAAACTGTGACCTTGTGCTTCATGAGCTTCTTTGGCTGTAGTTTACAGCCAAATCAGTCATATCACAGATGGTCTGAAGAAGTGCCATGAATCACAAGATGTGAGGCAAAATACCAACCAACCAATAAATGAATAGTAGACATCTCTTTGCTAGATATGAAAACTGGAATCTCTCTGTGGCTTTGCCAGCCGTGTTTTTGGCAAGGAGGCATACACTGTTCTCAGTACTCAAGGATATTGCCTTGGAAGCTCTGAGAGAAGAGGTCTGACAATTTCCACAGAGAAAAGCCAATTATTTCAGAGAATTCTGTACTCTGCACAGATCCTGCTGACTTGCTGGCAGAAACTTGCCTTTTCTAAGCTCAACCTCCAGTTTATAGGCTCTTATTTTTAGTGGAGGCACATTGGTGATGTAGTCCTTAGTATGTTGGACAGTTAGGCAAAAGACTGTGCGTTCCTGGTGGTTTGAAACTTACAGAAGCTCCAAAAGAGAAAAAATGAACTATCTCTTCAGTTGGGAGGATTTACAGCCTCAGGAGCCTGAGGGAGGGTTGACCTAATGGTAGTGAGTTTGAGTTTTTATTCTTACTTAAGGATGTTGATGACTGTGAACCATTTTAAGATTTCAATCATTCATTTTTTAGTATAAATGGATTACAGATCTATTCCAGATTAGGAGGGTTTTTTAGAGGAAAGAGTGAAAAATTAGACATATTAAATATTTGGAGAACATAGAGAACCCAGTGAGAGAAAATTGGAGCAGAAAGGAGATTCCAGGTTAGAGCTAGTTGTTATGTGCTGTTGAGCTGACTGCAACTCATAACGACCCTGTGGACAACAGATCCGAACCCTGACCTCGCCTGTACCATCTTCACCATCTCTGATACACTGGAGTCTATTGTTAAAGTCACTGTGTCATTCCATCTTGATAAGAGTCTTCCTCTCTTAGGCTGACCAGCACCCTTTCCAAGCATGATGTCCTTCTCCTGGGACCAGCAGTTCTTTTTTTTGGATTAATGAATGTAGATCTTTATTTGATAAACAAGGTGTTAAGATTGGGTCTGGAAACTTCAGAGGGGGCTTGTC